ATGCTTACTCGGGGCTTCTTTCTAGGCCATAGAAAGGCTTTTGGATTACATCCCAAGTTTGGCCACTACTATTTAGTTGCTAAGTCATGTCTGACTCTTTTGAGACCCCTTGAGCTGTCCATGGAATTCTCCAGGCAAGAATACTAGAGTGGCTTGCTATTCCTTCTCCAGGGGATCTTCCCCATCCGTGGATCAACCCCACGGCTACTGCTGCATCTCCTGCATTGCAAGTGGATTCTTTACTCCTGAGCCACCAGGGAAGCCCTCCAAATTTGATGGGAAACCGTGAAAGGGCTTGAGATGGGCAGGGACATGATACAGCTTTGATTTTAAGGAATGCTCTCCAGTGCTCTGTAGAGAGCAAACCTGGCCAGGAGCCTGTAGTGGAGGGGAACTGTGAGGAGGCTACAGAGGCGTCCACGCCAGGGCAGTCTTAGCCAGGCAAGCGGCAGAGGTGTAGAGAGCAGTGGGTGGCTCTCAGAGGTGTTTGGAGTAGCATTGATGCCACTTGTTGGATGGGGATGCGTGAGATGGCAGTAGGGAAGGCAGAAGAATGCTTAGGATTCTCGTTGGAGCATCTTGATGAGGGTGAATTACAGAGATGAGGAAGAGCATGGTCAAGAAGCAAGCCTTTAGTTTGGTGTTGAGATATACACAGATGCCTGTGTAGTGTCTGAGAGGGACTACTGAGTGGGTGGCTGGATGCACAGTCCAAAGTTCAGAGAAGGCTAGACTGGAGCCGTGAATTTTAGACTCATTATCTGACATACTACTTAAAGCAGAGAGAATCAGTAAGATGATCTAGGGAGACATTATAGACAGAGAGGAGAGGAAGGCCCACAGATACCACCATTAAGAAATCAGGTAGAGAAAAGATCTGAGAAGGGGATTTAGAAGGAAATACCAGCAAAGGTGAGGGAGGGAGGCTGATGAGAAGGGAGGGTTTCAAGAAGGAGGGAGGGGTCAGCTGTTGAAAATGTCACGAGGGTTGAGTTAGACACCGGAAGAAAAGGATTCTTCTTTCAAGTTTTTGCTGAACTTGGTCAGAAACATTTCAATAGAGTGGTGGAATGGCAATTCTTTAGTAACTAGAACATTTACCCAACTAAATATAATGTCAATTCTTCAAACATTTTGAATAAGTGAGATTGAAAGTAAGTACTATTATCCTCCAAGTGGCTCAAATATCTTGGGAAACCTCAAGATTGAACTCATATGCTTGTGCCTATATAACTCTCTGCTTCTTTGTTGCTGAAACAGGGACCAAAGCTTCAATGAACATAGATTTTCAGGATACTTTGGCACTTCTCCATTCTTCAGTTGCTGCTATCAGTCTCAGGCTGAATAGATAAACACAATTGTAAATTTTTACTAATTGTTATTTATGAATATGTGGTGTAAATAATTATAATGGCAGAAACTTTTTTGAACACTGGGTGTGTTCAGTGCCCTGTGATATACTTTTTCCAGGTATTAAGTGATATAGTTGTACAATTATTCTCAGTTTTCAGATGAATAAATGAAATCTTGATGAAATTACATAATGTTCATAAGCAGGCAGAGCCTGGGCATGAAGTTTTAAACACTGTACTACACTGCTAATTTATTAACTCATAAAAATCACTTCAGTTAAAAATGCAAACAATCAAGCATATCTCTGAAATTGAGATCAATATTTGTGAGCTCATTTATTTGAAATAGAACTGTTTTAACAGTTACCAACTGACTTGAAATAATAGCTGGGATAAGTTTGTAAAGTTATATGAGGATTATGACTGTAGATGGATGAGAGAGTTCAAAAGAAATAAGCATAAAGCCAGCTGTTTGATTTTTAGAACCACACATGTGGTTTTCATATTGAAATTACTGCTTCTAGCTATTCATGCAGAAATATCTAAATCTTGAATTAATTTTAAAACGCTGATCTAGGTATTTGGCACAGGCAGAATATCAAAGATGGTAGCTTTAGTGTTTTTTTTTTTTTTTTTCCTAAAGAGTGTCTATTGACAACATCTAGTCTTTGGTGCCATGCATTCTTTTCTGTTTGACTTGAATAAACTTTGAATTTTGGCAAAAATGGTGTACTATGATTTGTATATTTAAAACTCTTACAATAGATGTTCTAATAACACTGCAATTAAATATACTGAGAGGGCCATTATATTTTCACTTGCAGTCTGTTTCCATGTATTTGTTGTTGTTCAGTCACTCGGTCGTGTCTGACTCTTTGAGACCCCTTGGATTGAAGCACCCCAGGCTTCCCTGTCCTTCACTGTCTCCCAGAGTTTGCTTAAACTCATGTCCACTGAGTCGGTGATGTCATTCAATCATCTCATCCTCTGTCGTCCCCTTCTCCTCCTGCCTTCAATCTTTCCCAGCATCAGAGTCTTTTCCAATGAGTCGGCTCTTCCCATCAAGTGGCCAAAGTACTGGAGCTTCAGCTTCAGCATCAGTCCTTCCAGTGAATATTCAGGGTTGATTTCCTTTAGGATGGACTGGTTGGATCTTCTTGCTGTGAAGAGTCTGCAGTGCTGGGAAGCACTGCAGTTCGAAGGCATCAGTTCTTCGGCGCTCAGCCTTTTTTTTATTGTCCAGCTCTCACATCCGTGCATGACTACTAGAAAAACCATAGCTTTGCCTATATGGACCTTTGTAAGCAAAGTAAGGAGAAGGAAACGGCAACTCATTCCAGTATTCTTGCCTGGAGAATCCCATGGACAGAGGAGCCTGGTGAGCTACAATCTATGGGGTCACAGAGAGTCGGACACGATTGAAGTGACTGAGCAAACATGCATGTCTGATAAGAGATTAATTTTCAAAATATACGAAGAATTTCTACAATGCAACAAAAACAAAAAAAAACTGGATTAAAAAATGGGCAAAGGATTTAGATAGACGTTTATCCAAAGAAGATATACAAATAGCAGATAGAAAGAAAAGTAAAGAAAGTGAAAAACGCTGTCGTGTCCGACTCTTTGCGACCCCGTGGGCTGTAGCCCACCAGACTCCTCCGTTTATGGGATTCTCCAGGCAAAAGAGTTGGAGTGGTTTGCCATTTCCTTCTCCAGCGGATCTTCCCAACCCAGGGATCGAACCGAGGTCTCCTGCCTTGCAGGCAGACGCTTTACCCTCTGAGCCACCAGGGAAGCCAATAGCAGGTAAAAGATGTTCAAATCACTAATCCTCAGGAAAATGAAAACCACAGTGAGATACCATCTTCCACCCATTAGGATGATTGCTATTTTTTTTTTAAAAAAGGCAAAAAAATGAAACAAAGCAAAAAACCATAAGCTAATAACGTTGACAAGGATTGGAGAAATTAGAACCATGGTTCACTTTTGGTGGAAATGAAAGGGAAACAGTAAGTGTTCCCTGCTAAGGGAAACAGTATGACAGTTCCTCAGAAAATTAGAAGTCGAATTATCATATGACCTTTTCTGAGTATGTACCCAAAAGAATTGAAAGCAGGGACTTGAACAGATTTTTGCACATTCATGTTCATAGCAGCATTATTAACAATAACTAAAAGATGGGAGCACCCAGTGTCTCTCAGTGGAGGAATGAATAAACAAAATGTGGTATGTACATAGAGTGGAATGTTATTCAGCCTTAAAAAGGAAGAAAATACTGACACATGCCACAACATAATTGAAATTTGAAGACATTATACCAAGTGAAATAAAGTCACAAAGAGATAAATACAGCATGAGTCCCCATATATGTGACTTAGGGCAGTCAAATTCGTAGAACCAGAAAACAGAATGGTGGTTGCCAGGGGCTGGGGGTGGGAGAAATGATGAGTTATTGTTTAATAGATACAGAGTTTCAGTTTTGCAAGATGAAAAGTTATGGATGGTGGTGGTAAGTATTAAGTGGGAAGTACTTAAAACCATTGAACTATACTCTTAAAAATGGTTATGATGGTAAATTTCAATATGTGCATTTACCAGGTTCCTCTGTCCATGGAATTCTCCAGGCAAGAATATTGGCGTGGGTAGCCATTTCCTTCTCCAGGGGATCTTTCTGACTGAGGGATCAAACCCAGGTCTCCTGCACTGCAGTCAGATTCTTTACCATCTGAGCTGCTAGGGAAGCCCCCTTGCCACCACCACCCCCCCCCATAAAAATATATATGCAAATCACTGTATGTGGAGTGGTTTTAAAAAGATTTCAAAGAAGAGAAATAGGAGGCTCTATGGACACTAATAAATAGGAACTAATCTGAAAATATTTTCAGAGCTTTTTCATGCATAATGAAGTCTACATTAATATATAGTGTCTAATTATAATAAAAGCTATGACAAATATGGACAGCATATTAAAAAGCAGAGACATTACTTTGCCAACAAAGGTCTATGTAGTCAAAGCTCTGGCTTTTTCAGTATCATGTATGGATGTGAGAGCTGGACCTTAAAGAAGGCTGAGCACCGAAGAATTGATACTTTTGAACTGTGGTGTTGGAGAAGACTCTTGAGAGTCCCTTGGACTGCAGAGATATCAAACCAGTCAATCTTAAAGGAAATCAACCCTGAATATTCATTGGAAGGACTGGACTGATGCTGAAGCTGAAGCTCCAGTCCTTTGGCCACTTGATGTGAAGAGCTGACTCATTAGAAAAGAACTTGATGCTGGGGAAAGATTGAAGGTGGGAAGAGAAGGGGACGACGGAGGATGAGATGGTTGGATGGCATCAACAACTCAATGGACATGAGTTTGAACAAGTTTCAGGAGATGGTGATGGACAGGGAAGCCTGGCATGCTGCAGTCCATGGGGTCTCAAAGATTTGTACATGACTGAGCAACTGAACAGCAACAGCAAATTATATATAATCAGATATCCAATTACATAATTATATATAATGTAAAAATATATTGTGTTCTCCTTGGTGCTGAGGATTTTCTGGGGATAATAATGGAAGGAACTGCATACACTAGCTCAATTCAGACATTTTGTTCTGTTGCAGATCTGTGGCTACTGGCCCCCATGGTTCAGAGGCGCCATGAGGCTCGCTGACTGTTGGAAGCTTTGGCTCTGGGCAGCAATGTTCCTGCTTCCTGTTTCCGCTTCCGTGATGAGCAGGGACAAGCCAGGTATCCAGGTTGCCTTTGTGTCCAGTCTCCAAATGTTCCTTATAGTCTTTATTTTAAAAAATTATTGAAGTAAATCTTACTATGGTTGAGGAGGACATAGATTATATCTACAAGTAAAAAATAGATAAGAACTTATTGTTTTCCCCATTGACCTTCAAGTCACACATTGAGAATGCCTAAATTTACATTTTTCAATATATGTATTAGTCTAAATAGCTATTGTTTATCTCATTGATATTTACAAATATAAGTGTGCATTGTACATCCGTGTGTCTATTTCTCCCATTCACCTTTAAATGATGTTATTTAAATTATTCAGCTTTTAATATGGAAACTCATTCCCAGTTAGTATTAAGGGACGTTTCTAATGTTAATTAGGGAAAAGTGAAAACAGACTAAAATAGAAAAAGAAATTTAGCTTAATTATATGTCAGTTTTGTAGTGTCTCAGATGAAGTGAACAGGAAAATAACAGCCTTGAGAGTACTTTTTGACCTAAATAGATAATTGTTGTTATTTAGTGGCTGCGTTGTGTCCGATTCTTTTGCAACCACATGGACTGTAGTCCGCCAGGCTCCGCTTCCATGGGATTTCCCAGGCAAGAATACTGGAATGGGTTGCCATATCCTTCTCCAGGGTATCTTCCCAACCGAGGAATTGAACCCACGACTCCTGCATTGACAGGTTAATTTTTTACCACTGAGCCATCAGGGAAGCCCTAATATTTACTTACAGTTGTTAAATTATCAACCTCATAAATATCTCCAAAGGATTTGAAGGCAATTTGAAACATTTATTTCCATCTCTGATTTTTAAAAATGATCAAGTGGCTAATTTGGAAAACTTTTCTTGAACATTGAGTCTGTGTAAGTTACTGAACCAGATGCACTCTATATTATAAAGTTTAACACTCTGAAAAGCCATTTGTTAACCAAAGAGAAGCTCTGATTTGCCTTCTGTGCAAATGACTACACATAATGGATTCTGACAACAGTCACACATGATGCTATGTCCTGAGACTATGAGCTGTCTTGTGCTTATTCTTTCGAATATTTCTTTCAGAATTTTGGCTAACAAGGTATATACAGGTTTATAATACACCCCAGTAGAGACTTTTGAGACTTTTATAACAATCTCTTATAAAGATATAACATATCTGAGTCTCTTGAATATTTTGTAAGTCTTTATGATTTTTCACTAATTTGGCAGGAGGTACATTTAATAAAATAATGTACATGGGAGTTTGAATATGCTAACACCATATGAAGGACATCCTGTGGCTCTCACACTTTCTTTTATCAGAAAAATCAGGAAGACTCATGGCAAAAAGAAGTACATAGGGCAGGGAGTTTATTCTGATAATGTTTTACTCTCCTGAATTTTTTTAACGTCTCTTCATTTTAAGAGACATAGCAGGTCATGCAAGTAATTACTTAATCAGAGGCAATAGGACTTTTTTGGCTAGAAAGGAGAATGAATCAGTTTCTAGGCACATGCTAGTGTGTAATAATTATTCCTGATGATGATCTGAGGGATCTACACAAATGGTTTTCCAGTTTTAGTGTGAATAAGGATCATCTTATTCTAGGAGTATTGATTCCCTAGTCCCACTCCAGAGACACCTATGATGCAGGGCAGCCTGGAGCAGAATTCAGTAACTGACATTTTTAACCAGCTTCCCAGGTGAATCTAATGCCATATGTTTTAGGAAAATAAAGAAACACTCACCTTTTTGATAATTGTCTCTTCTTTCCTCAGCTTATGCTGCCAGGTTCCTTTTATTTTTTATTTGTTTACTTATTAATTTACACTTTAATAACTTTTTGGAGGAGTAAGAATATTTAACGTGAGCTCTACTCTGGTAACACGTTTCTTTATTTTTATAGCTGATGTGACCTTCCATTGATTTATTTTTAAAATGTATTATCACTTATTGATTTTTGACTCTGCTGGGCTTTCGTTGCTGCAAAGGGTTTTTCCTAGTCGTGGCTGGGGGGCCCTCCGCAGTTGCGGTGCACGAGCCGCTCGTTGCAGAGGCTTCTCCTGCTGCGGAGCTCAGGCTCCAGGGCACGTGGGCGTCGGTACTTGTGGCGCGTGCGCTCAGTAGCTGCAGCTCATGACCCCAGAGCACAAACTCGGTAGTTGCAGCGCACAGAGCTGTTGCTCCGCGGCGTGCGGGATCTTCCTGGATCAGGGATCGAACCCTTGTCTCCTGCATTGGCAGGCAGATTCTTCACCACTGAACCACCAGGGAGCCCCACACTTGTACGTGTATAGTACAACGTTGTTGGCTACGGATCTCTAGAACGTAATCATCTCGCAGAACGGAAGCTCCCCCAGCTTGGGACTTGCCTGACTGGAATGCTCCTGTACTTTGCCAGACCAGTTCTTTAATCAGGGTTACCTTAACAAAGGTCCGTCTGGTCAAGGCTGTGGTTTTTCCAGTGGTCATGTATGGATGTGAGAGCTGGACTGTGAAGAAAGCTGAGCGCTGAAGAATTGATGTTTTTGACCTGGCTTGTTGGAGAAGACTCTTGAGAGTCCCTTGCACTGCAAGGAGATCCAACCAGTCCATCCTAAAGGAGATCAGTCCTGGGTGTTCATTGGAAGGACTGATGCTGAGGCTGAAACTCCAGTACTTTGGCCACCTCATGAGAAGAGTTGACTCATTGGAAAAGACCCTGATGCTGAGAGCGATTGGGAGCAGGAGGAGAAGGGGATGACAGAGGATGAGATGGCTGGATGGCATCACCGACTTGATGGGCATGAGTTTGAGTAGACTCCGGGAGTTGGTGATGGACAGGGAGGCCTGGCGTGCTGGGATTCATGGGATAGCAAAGAGTCGGACATGACTGAGCGACTGAACTGACTGACTGACTGTATATGGGGCAATTGGAATGCATATGTTCTGGCTCAATTTACTCTACCAAATTAATCTTTCTGAAAGATTTTCCTGGGTGTGAATTCCAAGTTGATCGTAAGTCTAGTAAGCTTTATGTAACTCGAAGCATGGAGGGAAATGACTAAAGATGAAGAGTTGATTCTATCAGACTGTCTGGTAGGAGGTGCTCTGAAACAACTCACCCTAAACGTGCCGTGGAAGTTACTTGATTGGAAGTATCATTTGCATTATTTGAAAGCGTCAGCACAGCCTGCGGGAAGGATTGCTGGTGAGGATGGCATCCCGAGCCTGGCCTGCCAGGGGCTCCTCTCCTGCCTTGTGTGTCTGATTCACGCGCAAGCTTCCCTTTTTAGTTTCCTCATGTGCAGACCTGTGCGTGTGGTCACTAGCCATTTACCGGAGGGAAGTGATTACAGCTAAAAATAAAATATAACAAATCTGAGGGAGAGGCTAGGATGTCAGCTCTGGAGCCTGTGAAGTTGTCAACAGTCTGCTGTTAAATATACGAAGGATCATTCGAGTCTTTTAATTGCTTTACTGAGCTCAATGGAGTACTTCAAGGTGACTTGCAATATTGGCTCAGCTGGGGTTGAATCAAGAATAATACAGACAGATTCAATAACACCTTGAAAATTAAAATCCTGACACTATTCAGAATTAGTGGTTTCATATTCTTTGGTCAGTATTACCATTATGTTGAGATTATAAGGCATACTTAACTGTTTTCACACAGCAGGTAAACAATTTGAATGTGGCTGTTTCAGCTCAGTTGTCAAAAAACGGTGGGGAAGAGACTTGTATTAACAAATATATATCGCATGCATTAGCTCCAGACTGGCTTTAATCACTTTCTTAAAACATTCCTCTATGATAGAAGCTTATGTATCCTATGGCTTCTCTTTCTGCCCCACTCTCCTTAATCTAGGAGCTTCCCAGTTGGTTCTGTGATGTGCTGTGCTAAGTGGCTTCAGCCGTGTCCAACTCCTTGCAACCTTATGGATTGTAACCTGCCAGGTGCCTCTGCCCATGGGCTTCTTCAGGCAAGAATGCTGGAGTGGGTAGCCTTTCCCTTCTCAGGGGATCTTCCCAACCCAGGGATCAAACCCAGGTCTCCGTATTGCAGGTGGATTCTTTACCATCTGACCCACCAGGTGCTTGTAGTAAAGAACCCGCCCGCCAATGCAGAAGTAACAGACACTGGTTCTGTCCCTGGGTCAGGAAGATCCCCTGCAGGAGGAAATAGCAACCCGCTCCAGTATTCTTGCCTGGAGAATCCCATGGGCAGAAGAGTTTGGTGGACTACAGTCCATGGGGTCGCAAAGAGTCGGACACGACTGAAGGGACTTCACGCACACACGCTCCTTAATCTCAGGGAAGTGTGCTAAATTATCATCAAAAGTAATAAAAACAGAAAACAAGGTGAGGAGGCATGCTATTATATAGAGAATTTTATTTTATGTTTTGAAGAATTTCTCATGTTCAATATGGTACGAGGTTAAGAGTCTTTCCCTAGTGGTTCAGACGGGGTAAAGAATCTGCTTGCAGTGCAGGAGACTTGGGTTCGACCCCTGGGTCAAGAAGATTCCCTGGGTCAGGAAGATCCCTTGGAGAAGGGAATGGTTACCCACTCCAGTATTCTTGTCTGGAGAATTCTGTGGACAGAGGATCCTGGCGGGCTATAGTCCGTGGGTTTGCAGAGCCAGACACAACTGAATGACTTTCACATACACACACGCACACACACAAGTCCTACTGCTGATAAATGTACTTTGTAACTCCTCAATTTTTAAAGTGCTGGAAAGCTTCACAGTTATCAAATAAAGATTATGGCTCCTAACCACAGTTATTAAATAAAGCTTCAGAATTTTTAAATAAAGATTGTAGCTTCTAACCAAGTATTCTTTGGAGGAACAGCTCTGGACAAAAAATAAACAGTGAAGGTTCTGTGACCCCTTTGTCACCTCTTTGCTAAAATAGTTGTGTTGTAGTTTTTTTCTTGTTTGGTCACTCTTCCATATTTCTTTGGTTATATTCTGGCCTGATGTTCTTTACCTCTTTTTGTTAACCATTGTTTCTCTCCCAGCCTAGGATACTCCATA